CTGCCCCCGAGTATCAGTTAAATCAGAAGGCATGTACGAATATAAAAACACAAGCTGAAAGTAAGATGACAATGACTATTATTACCATGTCATAGTAGGCAAAGGCCAACACGAGGACCTTCTTGTAATTCAGTTACTGATGTTAAAACTTCAGTTAAATCAGAAGGCATGTACGAATATAAAAACACAAGCTGAAAGTAAGATGACAATGACTATTATTACCATGTCATAGTAGGCAAAGGCCAACACGAGGACCTTCTTGTAATTCAGTTACTGATGTTAAAACTTCAGTTAAATCAGAAGACATGTACGAATATAAAAACACAAGCTGAAAGTAAGATGACAATGACTGTTATTACCATGTCATAGTGGGCAAAGGCCAATACGAGGACCTTCTTGTAATTCAGTTACTGATGCTAAAACTTCCCCCGAGTATCAGTTAAATCAGAAGACATGTACGAATATAAAAACACAAGCTGAAAGTAAGATGACAATGACTATTATTACCATGTCATAGTAGGCAAAGGCCAACACGAGGACCTTCTTGTAATTCAGTTACTGATGTTAAAACTTCAGTTAAATCAGAATGCATGTACGAATAAAGAACATGAATCCTCCTAACACAAATCTTGTCTATACAACGTGACTTTTTCTCTGTTAACGTAACTGATTATCCTATAAAAATTTAACTATTCAATCATTTACCAAGATTAGTCCAGTAGAGGGTAGTTAAAGAAATATCATGATTTAAAAGTACTGCAGTGTTTCAGTTAGAAATGAAGTAACATTTTGAAATTACACAACTATGAGATTTTCCACGAATACCTCAACAGAATCTTATGAAAATGTTGATTCAGTGTCTTGTATTCATTGTTTAGTACATCTGTTATTGTACAGAGACTTACAGGAGCTTTATGTAGTTTTTATAAAGTAGTCTATACAGATATAAGGAAATAGAAAAGCATCAACTTTATTTAGATACTAAGCCTAAAGAGTGATTCTATCAAAACCGTAGTCATTCAGTAAAACATAATAGAATGGGCCTAAAAGGTTTACAAGTAATAGATCTTAATATGAATTCTAACAATCTAATCCTTCTCACCTTCTGAAACAACTTTCATAAAATCCCCCACAAAAAAGTGGGGAGGTGCACATATAATAAATGAGAAAAAAGGCAAATATAAAGTTTAAAATAAAATAAAGCCTTAAATACTTGGCCAAATATACAAATAACACTTGAAGATTTCCAAAGAAAACATTTTGTTTGTTCTACAAGTTCTACTTACATTCAACATTGTGCTTAAGAAGTTAGTTTTGAATATAAACTGAAACATTTTTTATTTATTAAGTATACTCCTCTAGCACTAATTGTTTAAAATGACTTGGATCAGTCATGATTGCTACCAGTTTTACGACTTCATCGACTGGTATTTCTTTCTGTGTTGTTGTACAAGCTACCAAAAGTTGCCCAGACTTTCAAAGATTTTTGATAAGACTCCTAACAACAAGACACCGATCTATTGGAAAGAGTCATCTAATGGAGGTTGATTAAAAATTTATTTTGTTTTTGAGAAAAGAAAAAGCATTACTTTAAAATAGTGTCTTTAGTGAGCATTACTTTAAAATAGTGTCTTTAGCAAGCATTACTTTAAAATAGTGTCTTTAGCAAGCATTACTTTAAAATAGGGTCTTTAGTGAGCATTACTTTAAAATACGGTGTTTGTCTTTACATCATTGGTAGTCATGCATTATGTTAAACTGATGGTTTAAGTATAATAATAGCATTCAGTTAGTAGATAATTTTCACTATAATTCCTTCTTGTTCGTAGTTATTAAGGAAATTACAAGTAGAAAGTCATAAATAAACATAGAGACACTAACATTTTCATGAGCACAATAACTTTATTTATATAATGTTGACAAATACTCCATGTGCAAGATCGTATTGCCCATGTTTTGTACATATCAGAATTAAATTATTCAAGATATATAGTCATTGATAGAAGAGAAATAGAATAAGATTAAGTTTCATCATGGTCAACACAAATAGATAATGTTTTTGTGAAATATACATCAATTGAAGTTAATTAATATTATTGTAAGATTAAAGATAAAATTTAACTAAAGGATAAATGTGGAATACATAAAATTTCATTTAGTTGAGATTTAAATTATATTGAAATATCGAATAAGAAAATATAAAAATGCAATTGATAAACTAAAAGTTAATGATCTTGGTTGAACAAGTGGTGAACTCTTCACATGCTACTGACTGGGACAACATGAAATGATTTAAAAGGTGAATTTAAAGAATGTATTAAATATAATTGGTAAAACATTTAAAGCTACCCTTTTCTTTTAAGAGAATTCCATTCTTAAACACCTATAAAATAATGGTCTCCACTAATGCCAATAGCAGCTCATTTCATCAGCCAATCATCTCTCAGAAAAACAAAACTGTCCTAACTAGAGCCTTACAGCCTTACCCATCTTTTTCCACGTCTTAAAACTTGTGTCCTCTTATCTTCAGAATACAGCACAAAGAAAGCCGAAAACTTATTGGTGCCCTCACAGATTATCTTGTAAGCTTGAATTCTTACCACTAAAGACACTATTTTAAAGTAATGCTCACTAAAGACACTATTTTAAAGTAATGCTCACTAAAGACCCTATTTTAAAATATTGCTCGCTAAAGACACTATTTTAAAGTAATGCTCACTAAAGACACTATTTTAAAGTATTGCTTGCTAAAGACACTATTTTAAAGTAATGCTCGCTAAAGACACTATTTTAAAGTAATGCTCACTAAAGACACTATTTTAAAGTATTGCTTGCTAAAGACACTATTTTAAAGTAATGCTCACTAAAGACACTATTTTAAAG